GGGACAGCTTGACTACTCCGAATGTCAAAAAAGCAATCGTACGAGGCACTCGGCGGAGGTGAAGAATATAATCCTCAAGGCTTGTGGAGAGGAACTGAAAGCATGTTGCACACATACTGAACGTAAACCTGATTACCTGTCGCGGTTGGATAAAAGTTGGTGGCAAGGCGAGCACGTGATCTCACGTCGTGAACACAGTCCATGAGTATGGCTCATATGAGTGCACATTTGCAACATGTCACCTGACGCACGCGATGCAGTTCAAGCGTCACCGATGCAAACATTTGGGCAAACGATGCAACGAATTGAGAAAAGGTAAAGGTGATTGCATTGTTGAGCTAGTTCCAAGCTATTGCATCTTAGGTCCACGTACCGGTCGTGCTGTCCCTGGATTTTTCGAAGTATTTGACATGGTGCTCCATTTGAGCTGAGCTCTCACGATATTTTTAGTCACGCCCTTCATTGGGTGTCTGCATCCTTGTAGGGAAGGGTGTGTATGCGTGAGTTGCAGTGTATCATTTAGCGGTGGCCCACAGGGCACGGTCCTTGGACCGAGATTGTTCTGCATGTAGGTAAACGGTCGTTATTATTTGCTGAAACAAGTTTTGGAATATTGTAGATATCCCTGGGGGTCCCGAGGCCATTCAACATGCCTTGGGTAGGCACTGGGACCGGTCTACTTTGTGTCTGCTGTCCATTGATCAGGTTGTGTTCCGCTATTCGTATGGCGGCAACTTTCACATCTTCGAGGTAGCTGCCCGATGGGGTATCACGCCCAACTGTCCAACCAGGTCAACCTAGGTGTTGTACCCTCTTCAACTTCGCACTCGGGCGACAACTGGAACAATGCAGCAGATAGTTGTTTCCGAATGTGGTGGTTAATACGCTGTTCCTTCGGAATCTTGACAGTCGAAATTTTTGAAGCAGTTCTCAGCTTTCGTCCGGCCCCGTCTAGAATACTGTTTCCAGCCTTGTCCACCCTGCCTCGTTCGGGGAGTAATGGCGTTGGAGCGTTTAACGGGTGCTTACTAGGTTGTTAAGGGATTAAGGGGGCCAAACGTACCTCGAGCATCTACTTAGTTTGGGTATTTATTCACTGCAATATCTAGGGCTCCATGGAAATCCGATCCCACTTACAGTATATTAACTAAGAAGGCTGGACCGGAGTTGTCTTAGCTATTTAGCCCGGTCAGGTTGTCTGGTCCGTACGCGCAGTAAATGAATCAGCACAAGCCGCGTTCCGACCGGAACAATACGGAAACTCGGCTATGGTGTCCCGTTGGCGAGCGCTGGAACTATCTTCCAGAACATGTTGTCTGGGAAGCTACGGTTAAGGGTGTTGAGCGTCAATCGGTCGCTCTTGGGTGGCAGCACGAAACATTGCCCTTCTCCTGACCGACTTATATCTTCGAATTTATTTTCCGCGCTTTTCAGCACTCAGTATTATCTTCCATTTAAAAGAACTTCCGCCACCTTCCATTTTCTTTCCTTCTCTAGCTTACTTCATATGACCGGGATTGCTAGTGCAAAAAACGTGGACAGTAATTGGTCGACCCGGGTGTGATTTGTGTATTTCGTTTTAGATTCAGCGAGACTTCGGAGCTCAACCACCGCAAAAGAAGGAACACTAACTATGGTTACAGTTCTACCTGAACTTAATCAGATATTATCCATAGAGACTGTTGTGATTTAAATTGGCCTTTTTCATCGTATGCTAATGAGTCTAAATGAACATTTGTAGCGCACAGTCGATGTTGATGCTAGTGAATCGATTTTACACGTCATGCCCTTATCCCAAACCACCCATTACGCGTGACGTTGATTCGGATGCCGCTGATTTTCCTTCCATTTAACACCACCCTAGGGACTATGTCTTGCGTTGTCAAGGTATATACCGTTTATTAATTTGTTTGATGAGCTACCTCCGGTTACAAAATCTAAGCGCAGGTTTGCCTCAGCCCCCACAGTGTAGGTTACAATAAAAACTGTGAAAGACAAAATCCGGATGCTAGAGGTGAGGTTTTAATTGCACTTGACTTGCGGTATAATCTGTCACTGTTGCGGAGCAGCAGAATAACGCCTAAGAATATGCAGATTTGAGCTGGAAAGACTGAGGTGGTCCGTCCATGTAGAAGCAGTGCTGCAGTTCTACCGGTAGGAATGTAAGATGCCAATCAAGTCAACAATGCGCACTTGAACGGCGCCTCACCCTTTCTTCAGCGAATTGCATAGTTTTGAAAGTATCTGTGATTAATTGTAGTCCGTGAAATTGAATTGTAACACCAGCCGTAAATGATGAATCGGATTCAAACTGGTTTCATCCTCAAGGGTCCCAGTAAAATTAACTCGTGGCTGTTCGTTTAATTTGCTTCCTTTAAATAAAGCGCGGGAGTTGCTCCTGTTGCGGATCAATTTCAGTGACCTCTCTATGTAGCGAGGGAGCCCCAATGGCATCGTCAGGATTGATCGTGAGCTCAGTAGAGTGCCGCGAAACTGAGGTCTAGGCGTTGTTCCGGCTCGCCTGAAACAATAGTTCGAGGAGCGCATCGGTGGACGGGAGAAAAATTGAGAAAAAGAGACAATTGATCCACCTCCAGTCCCCTCCGTACGGATGTTGAGCTGAATTGTTACCTGAGCTATTTGAACTCGACTGGAACGTTGGATCCACAAGACAAACTTACGAGAAGATGCGGTGCAGTAAGAAGTTAGGCCCTCAGTTACCTTACTCCATGGTGGCTGAGACACAACAGCGGCTATTCGGCCGGCCTACTCAATAGAATGGAACTTGTTACTGAGCACCACCCACACACTTAGAATTGTGGAAAGTCGTGTAAGGATCATTGGCGTCAGCCTCAGTGTTATTGTCCGGCTGCCACATGGGAACCGAAGAAGGAAAACAAACCAAGCTCTCATTTCCACTCTTTCTCGTGCTGGTACGTTCAAACTTTACGCAGCCTCTCCTTTATGGAAGGTAAAAATACCATAGTACTTGATGCGATAGTGGCCTGCTCCGACTGCATCCGCAACCATTATTTCACCCAAAACTCGCAGTTATTTTGTTAGCCCTTATTTCACTCTAATCACGGTACTCCCGTATTCGGGCAAGGTAAGAGCACAAGGTGTTTGCTGTGGAACAGAGACAAGCAGGCGGAAAGTTGTCAAGTGCATTGAATGCCATTACAGTAATATAGAATCTGCTCTGGGTTATTTAGCAATCTCTACATGATAGGAACATTGGCGCTCAAGAATTCTTCCTTCGCGCCACATGTCCGACAACTTAGATGCATGTCAATTTTTCTTGCTGAGAGATGTCATTATGGTCAATGTAACTTCGCTCTGGATGATATGCGACGGTAAAGCGGACGATTAGTATGTTTGTGCATGAAGCAACACTAGCATCACTTAGATTTTATATTGATTTTCGGCGTAGGCTCATCTTTCAAGGAAACAACTGATTATCCGATGATCTGTTCCCACGTTGGAGGAACAAAAGATTCATTTGTCCACTTTGAAGCTTCGGTGCGAAGATTAGGTTGAAGTTTTGATTGATTTCCCAAAATTTGACTGGAGAAGTTTCGCCACCAATTGATTGGTAACCAAACACATGTAATCAACCAATCAAAAGCCCAACAACCAATGTGACCTACCGACATTTAAACTTACTGCAAAGTCTGGCTGGTTTCCATTTCGGCACATTAGTACACTTCGTCAGGTGCCAGAATAGCATCACACACGCAAACAAACTACTAATGCAGCATACTATAGTGCCGACAGTACAACAATGCTTGTATCCGAATGCAGTAATGCTTGGCTTCTAGGAACATGAGGAACATTTGTTCTCTTCTAATCTCACTTTACTGTACCTTTCTAGCTGTGCAGAGGTGTACACGAAACCGTTTTTTGAGTTAACCACCAATGGAATGAACCAGGAGGACTGTGATTTCTCCAGTTCTCAACTTATAGTAGAAATGATCATGAATGACTTCCTTCTACTTTGTTCCACTGCATCCAAGGTAGGGATACTGTCAAGTGACTGACCAATATTTCATACAGGACTTCTCCTTGGTAAATTTAAAAGGAACAAGAAGTGACATGGTGACAGGGAAAAATGGAATCCAGTGATTTCCTGTATTCTCATAAGCCGTTTAAATTCAGTTCGTGGAACAGCTGGATTCCAGTGATAATCGAGATGTAACCCCGTTGATGAACCGATGGCGGACTGACTGACAAGTTCGGAGCAAGCAAACGACACAGTGCTAATGGAGACTACCCACACCAATGCCTCTGAGTAGACTACCGCGTAGCACTGCACAATTTGACATGGGGTTAGCACCTTCAAAATGTAGAGTACTGTTGGTAGTTATTAGAATTAATTGTAGCTTAGGATGTAGATAAGGGAGTTGGGTTGCAAATGTCTCGTCAGCAGCAAAGGCAACCTCATCAGTGGAACTGTTAGAGAAGTAGTATTTTCTTAGACAAGCTGTTCGCTGAGCTTAGCAATTTTGTTGCAAACGTTTCGTCACCGGAGATTCGTCATCGGAGATTATCAGTGCGTTACTGTGTAGTACAGCGATACTCTACACACTAATGACGTCACCTCGACTGGTGACGAAACGTTTGCAACAAGCTCAGCGAACAGTTCGTCTAACAAATGAATAAGCATCCACATTTAATTCTATATTAAAGTGTTAGTTTCCCAGAAGAGAGCCGACACGTTATCAGTTCCCGAGCGATCGCTTGAAATGTTTATTTACGTAGGTACCTGCTTCACAACTGGTCGTTGGAGCATGGAAAAGGTTAGGGTACGCGAATTTTCAAATTCTCCGTAGCAGAGTGAAACCTGATGGTTCAAGAACAGTGTGCAAAAGGTTGCAGACTGAGGTTGGATAGTTCGAATGATCGTCAACACTGACAGGGAACCTCCGGTGTAACTATAAATCATCGTCCAAAACAACAAATCGCCCCCACCCCCTGAGAGCAATCACTACGAAAGAAAACAGTGAATATGACTAGAGAGGAGATGACATAATTGATGAGATTTATGGTACAGTGCTAAGAAAACAGACAGGTGCGCACAACATGAAAGGTACAGTGGGGAGATAAAAAATAAGCATATGGTCGCCCTGCCACCGCCTCGCAGGTGGATGGGGGGAGAGGATAACAAGACGCGGTGATGATAAATAGAAAAACAGCGTATAGCAGACCGGTATGAGTGTACGAAAAAGGGGACTGATACTCAGTTGGAAATACACAGGGGTAAAATAGAAATCGCATTGCGCATGTTTCAGAGGGGTGAGAGGAAGTTGCAATGAAATGCAGAAAAAGCACGTTATTACTGAGTCCGAACGGGGAAGAGAATGAAATGAAAAGAAATTGCATCTGATTATTAGCAGAATGGAAACAGACAGACAACAATGCATGCAGATGGGGGTTTAGAATATAAGTACATTTGAGTCGAGGCCGTTGGAGCAACATGTCGTGTAGGTGCGAAAGATGAGCGAGCATCATCACAGTGGGTAGTAATAGAGTAGCGCCGAATAGCCTAACCACATGGAGGAGAGAAGTGGAATTTGATACACGGGGTTCTTGTGTTCTGACAATGATCGAGCGATTGCCTTTTGAGTTTCGTCCAAAAGCAACACGGGAAGAGAGATTTTCACCACCGCGGACCATTCGGCCCAGTTGAGAGCAGAGATTTGAAAAATTCTCTGAGATTGAAAAGAGAAACAAAGAAAAGGATGGGGTGAATAAGCGGAGAGGGAAAGAATGAAGTGCAGTATGGTGAATTCGTTGCGAGTGGCTGATGAACGCATTTGTTGGCAGATGACCAAGGAATGAGGAGACTGTCGCTGATCACACAAACGTCACCGGGTTGGAATCTGCGAGCGACGCCACAAGCGACTGGTGGTAATCGCGTGACAATGGAGCGTACGTGTTGATGTAGTTTTTGTGAGAAATGAGGGCACCGCTCCTGGCGTGAAATGTGACATAAAGAAGTCAAATGACCTAATGTTATGCGCAGGACCTTCGAAAACATCAGCAGAACGCCGGAATTTCAAACCGACGTTTCAATGTTACACACCTACCGAGGACTAAGACACTGCGGTCACCGGCGCCTACGCAGACTCGAATCGGCGACCAGTGGCTGGTAAGCCACTGGTAGAGATATGGTGCGAACGTTATCATCATCATAAACAACTGTGCATCAGTGACTTGCAATGATGCCTTATCACCATATTTCCGTAAGGATCCCACTGATGAGAACACAATGGACATAGAGTAGCACCCATCCGCTCTGAGTGGACACGCAGAAGCAAAGAATTCATATCTTCACAACACCGGAAAGGCGGCATCGCGTTTATTGCTTGAGTCATAAGCAGCAATCTTGCTCAACAGATAACTCAACATGCAATAGTAATTCTCATCACTATACACGTTAGCTGCAGGTGGAAAACACAGTTATTAAGCCGCAATACGAAAGAAAAGGATGCAATAAAAGTACGCAGACTGAGTCACCGGTAACGGATGGACATCATTCCGGAGAGGTAACAACCGGCAAAAATTACTTATATTATGCCTACTGGAAGAGACTGTGGTTGGAGTGGGAGGCTAAGTGGAAGGGGAAAGACGAAGTGTAAACGGAGAAGACACCCCTTTGCATCAACCTGGCACAGTTGACCATAACGCAGACCGAAACTTATTGGCTAATCAATGAGTGGGCTAATGACGACGATTCACTTTGAACGCTGCCAATGACGGCCCACTTGAAGCCCACAAGTGAGCGCTACGTCATTCCTTTATTAACTGCTGATTCGATTCCCTTATTTGAGTTGCTTACATTGCTTGCGGAGTGCTCAAGACCGTTTGCCTGAGGCCCTTGTTTTCTAATCTGAAAAGTCGACCGGTTAGCTTGCGCGGTAAAAGGTTATCCGTACAAGCAGTAGAAATCACAACATGAACGTCACTAAGGTCGGCTCTTAGCTATGTCAGCAAGTGTTTCTGGCCAAACGTGCACGTCGTCCTTCGGACCAAAACCAGTGAGCCGAGAGGCTCCAACGGATGCCAACTTCGAAGTAAGTCGCCTTCATTGCTCTTGACGAAGTCATCGCTTGGCCACTCCTCCTCTTCTCCCATCCGTACAACCGGCGAGCAAACTAAGCAAGACACGGGAGTCGGTGGGTTGGTATGCGCAACACGTGGCCCAGTCATCGGAGCCTGGTGCGTGTAATAACGGTGCTGAGCGGTTCATTTACTTTTCCTGTGCCACAAACAAGACGCCGAACACGCCCGTTGCGCACGCGGTGTTCCCACCAGATGTGAGCCAAACTGTGAAGGCACCGGTGGTCGAACGTCACTAGCATCCTTATGTCTGCTGATCGAATGGACTTAGTTTTACAGCCGTAAAGGAGAGTCAAACGGATGGCTGCATTGTACACTCTACCCCTTCAGGGAGAGTGATGTCGCGCAAGGCGCTAGAGGTGACGAAGGTTAGTAAAAGCGCCCTGTGCTTTTACTATAAGGTTTGTAATCTCGTCTTCGGCGCTGATACAAATGCCGAGGTAGCTGAACTTTCGAACGAGTTGCAGCCGGTCCCTACCAAGGGTCAGCGCAGGAGGCGGACCCTGCTAAGGTTGGGAGAACGCTGTGCATTTCGAGGGTGCAAAGCACAGCCCGAAACGGTTGACAGTCATTGTTGATCTGTCCAATGCCGCTGGGCACGTTTGTAAGCTGTCACAGATGAGGGCAATATCGTCAATATATTCCAAGTCGATCACCTGGGAGCAGCTCCACACCTTCTAAGGCGTGTCCTGTGAACCTGATCTCAATGACTTCGTCAATAGCGAAGTAGTAATTCTACTAGTGAACATACAGCAAACATTTCATCGAGTACCGCAAGAACGGTTGTTAGAAAAGTTGGTCTCTTGGATCCGGGACTCATTACTACGTTGGCTATCGTCATACCTGAGTGGTCGTCACCAGGTAGTCACTTTGGGTGACTATCGCTCTTTTCCACGTCCCATCACTATTAGGGTTATCCAACGGAGCGTGTCCGGTCCTTTACTGTTCCTGCTCTACAACAATGACGTTAGCACATCCGAAAAAATGATGGGCCACTTTTATTCGCTGGTGATAAAAAGATCGTCTATAAGCTTCCGTGTGATGAAATTCACGGGAGGCTACTGCTCATTTAAGAATACGTACATACCCTTGAGTCACGGTGCCACACGTGGGTGATGAGCCTCTCGGCTAAGAAATCAAACATCATATCTTACGGCTGTTCCATTCCCGAGGGACTTATCACATCAAACAATGAGCCGCAAGTACCGAAGATGAAACCTGCGTCCGCAGAGAAGCGTCTAATATACTTATCGCTACCGTTTAAGGGTGAGGCGATAGCGCAGCGAACCACCCGAAGGCTTACCCTAGCCACTGTCAAAACGTACTTCGTGGCCAACTTACGTGTAACCTTCACCTCAACACTAATTGTCCGGCAGCAGCCCAAAGACAGGATATCGCGGTCGCAATTTTTCTTCTGTGTGTACAATTTCTCTTGCTCGTAACGAGCAAGGTATATTGGAAAAACGACCAGGCGACTGTCCGTAAGAGCTCGAGAGCATTGTCCAGCTTGGCTATCAAGTGGTGTGAGAAAGAATGTGACGAGCGCAGTATTGTCACACTTAGTGGATACCAACCACAAAATAAACTTAAAAGATTCATTCCAACCGATCTACTGTGTGCCAGGACGCCACACGAGAGCTGTCAGATGCCCACTGCTGTCGACAGCAGAGGCAATCGCAATTCGGTTCCATAACCCAGAGTTGTGTGCACAGAAGAATTTCGTGCGGACGCTGTCTACGCTGGCCTAAGACTAACAAAGTAAGCAGACATATCACGCTATTCCCCCGACTCCACACAGGTCGGGCTAATCACATAGCCTTATTGATGAGATATTTGATTTATTGACGACTGTAACTCACGTGTTCATTTTTGGACCTACACTGTTGTGGTTGTACTAGCCAGATGATGATCCACTAAAAACAAGCTTGTTCGCTACGTCTTACTCCTAATGTCTTCTCGGGGTATTATTTTACAAATGAACATGTCCCTACACAGCTGTCCATACGTGATCTCGGAAGTAGGTACTCATATACCTTTAATTTATCCGAACAGGCGCAATACCAACTAGCACGTGTTAGGTAATCTGTGGTTAATATATCCAACAAACTCCACACAATCTATGTTAACGATGAGCCCCATCCTCGAGTAATGCGGCTTAATATACGGTAGTAGGAGAAGAGCGACAGAATTGCTGTGGAACACACCAACAGAAGTAGTTTACTAAACATCTGATTGGTAAGCATTATGCCATGAAATTTCGAGATCGTTGCAAAGAACTTCAAATCGAACCACTTGGGATTCGACGACTGAAGCACAAGTTGTTGCTGCTTTTCAACCTATTGCACAAAAAATACTTATTCCGATCTGCCTACACTGCAACTGCAACATAGCTCAAGTTGGGGAGTTTCGCAACAAAGAGTATACGTTGAAGATTCCAAAGGATAGAACAAGCATGCGCTCAAATTTTTTCCGGTTCAGATAAAGCTTTCTGTGGAATAAACTACCAATAACACCCAGGTCATGTGACAATATGTCAACCTTTGGTAACAAGCTATCAAGTTACCTTGATCTGAATACTTCAATCACCAGATTCACATGGGAAAAATCCCTCGATGAGCTACTCCAAGAGGGGCCTAAAAACATGTAAACACCAGCTTTTAAACCTTGGCTTTCGCTTCAACCATTCACCAATGCACATCACCCATTCAAGAGCACGTTTACTTTTGCACAAAGTGAGCTACTGCTACAGACGGTTTCTCGCATCAGGAGAAATACACGTGTTACTTTTATTTTTATTCCCTAGAAGGATGATAAAAATGGACCATTACGGTCATCTTCCGTGATTGACCATCAGACGCGTTATCCAAGATGGTGTACGCAAAGGGCGGTTCTAAGTGTACAGGTCGTGGAACACGATTCGATGTTCGACGGAGAAATCGCGCGTAAAAGCCTTTGTAACTGTGACCAGCCGCCGCATGTGCTACTACGTTTGCAAGTGCATCTGTCGTGTATAAAGTGAGCACTCCGGATTTCCGTCTGATGAATGGCTCTAACATGTCAGGACAAGGTCATCTGGCCGGTGCTAGATGATGGTCTCCAGGCCATATTAAAGGCAAAAAATTAATGCGATGCAAGTCAGATTGAAGCAGTGCAAGCTACGCATCTAGCCAATCCTGGAATACTGTTGTCGAACAATACCGCGAACACCATCGCAACTAGACTAAACCGCAAGGTGGTGCAATGGTTTGTGTGCCTCAACAATCCATTGAGCTATGCTAGGTGGTGCTGTTTTGCACCTTCAGAGCCACTCAGACCTGATTGGTAAATGGTTAGAGGCCAGACAAACGCAGTCTCCTGGCCCTCCAGGTTCGGGGTTGGAGCGAGGGCAGTCCCTTACTTCTTAAAACAGTCTCAATGTAGCCCAGTGCCACAATCCCGATGCATAGTGGCCAAATTTTTGAACCAAAGGATTTGGTTGTGAACCGTAACCTTAGTCCTGTCTAGGCCTGGGCAACCTGACAGTGTTCTGCCTACGCAGTACAATGACCTTCAAAGGATTTCATCAGACTGACATTCACATGATGACAAT